CTTGTAAAATTTGGACATGTGCAGATCACATGGCAATCCCCCACTTTATACATGCTTAAAATGAACATTGATAGAACCCATATATATTTAGTTTGCACAAAATTCATGCAAATCTATGATTCTATATAACTATGATTCATTTTGTAATAGAGGTAGATTTTGTTGTTAGGGAAAATCAATGATTTTCCACAAGTAAATCAATCAATGGGAATAAAAACTAATGCGGAAAAATTAAATCAAAAGCAACACAGAAATTTTTACGTGGTTCCCTCAATGTAAGGTACGTCCACGGGATCGAAATCCGATTCCACTATTAACCAAATAAGTTTTCAAATGATTACAAATGAGACACGAATGGTCTCACAAAACCACCCTTAGATGAATTCTAAATAATCACAAATAAATAACAGGAAAGATCTCACCAAATAGATAAACAAAAATCTTCAAAATCAGAGTTGAAGAAGACCCAAAATAACGAACCAACACTAATCGAAGATGCCCTCAAACCGAGCTTCAAAAACCGAGATTGAACCAATCCGCTTCACAAATCCAAGCACCAATTCTTGATTGACCAAGTCAACTCGAGAATAACAAACAACACCAATTGAAGCACTGTTGCCGAAAAACTTTGTTACTGTCGCTTTTTTCTTTTTTTTTCTCCCACCGGGAAAAACATAAACAATATATATATATATATATATATATTGTTGATTAATGACTTTTTCAATCAAAACCCTAGTTGTATCCAAATTGAATTAGGTTTTCACAAAATTAGATATAATATATAAAAATATATTATCTCTAAACCAAACCAAATTAAACTCTTTTAATAAACCAATTGGGTCCCATACTCCAATAAGGAGGTATACCCAACAATTCTCCCCCTACCGACTTAGGTGGAGATATCAACCATACCCGCCAAAGTTCGACACTTTAAATGTTTGTCCTTCGACAAAGTCTTTGTCAACATATCTGAAATATTATCATCTGTGTGAACCTTTTCGAGTTGCAACAACTTTGAATCTAATACATCACGAATCCAGTGGTATCTCACATCAATGTGTTTCGATCTCGAATGAAAAGTAGAATTTTTGCTCAAATGAATAGCACTTTGACTATCATAATAAAGCACATACTTTTCTTGCTTCAAACCCAACTCTTGCAAAAATTTCTTCAACCATAGCTCTTCTTTGCAAGCTTTCATAATACCAATAAATTCAGCTTCGGTAGTTGAGAGAGCAACACATTTTTGTAATTTAGATTGCCATGCCACAGCTCCCCCTGCAAAAGTCATCAAATACCCCGAAGTAGATTTCTTAGAATCAACATCACCAGCCATGTTAGAATCTGTGAACCCATCAAGCATCGGCTTACCATCTCCAAAACACAAACACACCTCCGAAGTCCCCTCGAAGATATCTTAGAATCCATTTTACCGCTGCCCAATGTTCTTTACCCGGATTAGAGAGAAAACGACTCACCACACCAATGGTGTGAGCAATATCCGACCTTGTACAAACCATGGCGTACATCAAAGAACCAACTGCTAAAGCATAAGGAACTTTCAACATCTCTTCTTTGTCTTTTTCACTTGTAGGACATTGATTTGAACTAAGTTTGAAGTGACCCGCAAGTGGACAACCAACCGGCTTTGCTTTATCCATGTTGAACCTCTCAAGAACTTTCTCAATGTAGCTTTCTTGAGACAACCAAATCAACCCCTCTTTGCAATCACGAACAATTTTCATACCAAGAATTTGCTTTGCCGGTCCCAAATCTTTCATAGCAAAAGATTTACTCAACTCTAACTTCAACTTGTTAATCATGGTAGAATCTTGACCAACAATTACCATGTCATCAATATAAAGCAAAAGAATAATAAATTTGTCATCTAGAAAATTTTTCACAAACACACAATGGTCCGAAGTGGTTTTAGAAAAATCATTATTCATCATGAAATAGTCAAATTTTTTGTACCATTGCCGTGGGGCTTGCTTGAGGCCATAGAAACTTTTCTTCAATTTGCAAACAAATTTCTCTTTCTCTTTCTCTACAAAACCTTCTGGTTGCTCCGTGTAAATTTCTTCTTCAAGGTCACCATGAAGAAATGCAGTCTTCACATCAAGTTGCTCAACTTCAAGGTAAGTACAACCCGAATAGAAGACATCTTCACAACTGGTAAAAAAATCTCATCAAAGTCAATACATTTCTTTTGCCCAAAGCCTTTCACAACAAGACGTGCTTTGTACCTCAGATTCTTCCTATCTTTCTTCAATTTGAAACCCACTTATTTTTCAAAATTTTCCTCCCCTTAGGCAACTTCACTAAATCATAGGTGTGATTTTCAAGTAAGGAGTTCATCTCCTCTTCCATAGCCCTTTTCCAATCACCTATCTTTGCATGCTCAATTGCTTCTTGGTAGCTCTCAGGCTCCCATTGATCGGAAATCAACACAAATTCATTGGGAGGATACTTTCTTGAAGGTTGTCGGTCCCTTGTAGATTTTCTCAACTTAAGTTATGGTGGCGGTTCTTGAGTTGGATGCTCTTTCTCAATTTCTGGCTCAACTTCATTAGGATTAGCATCATCCTCTACATCTTCAATAGGTGGTTGCATATCTCCCCCATTTTCATCATCAACTGAAGATGAAGGAGATGGATCCATGTCAATGAGATCACTAGTTTTTTGCTCCGGTTGATCACTTTTGCCAAAGTCTTTAATTGTTTGGTCTTCAAGAAACACAACATCATGACTTCGAATAACTTTCTTGTCGACCAGATCCCACAATCTATAACCAAACCCATCACGTCCATAGCCAAGAAAAATGCATTGTCTTGACTTGCTATCAAGCTTGGACCTCTCATCCTTTGGAATGTGAACAAAAGCTCGGCAACCAAACGCTCTCAAGTGCTCATAAGACACATCTTTACCGATCCAAACTCTTTCTGGAACATCACCATTCAAAGGATAGGAAGGTGACAAATTGATCACGTCAACCGCTATCTTCATTGCCTCACCCCAAAAGGATCTTGGCAATTCAGCTTGTGAAAGCAAACACCTTATTCTTTCCACAATGGTGCGGTTCATCCTCTCGGCAACGCCATTTTGTTGAGGAGTCTTCTTAACTGTCTTTTGGTGCCGAATACCTTGGCTGCGACAATACTCATCAAATGGCCCAATGTATTCACCACCATTGTCTGATCGAATGCACTTTAATTTCTGCCCTGTTTCTCTTTCAACCATGGCTTGAAAATACTTAAATACTTCTAGAACTTGATCTTCAGTTTTTAGTAAAAAAGCCCAAACTTTCCTCGAATAATCATAAATGAAAGTAACAAAATAAAGTGCACCACTATGTGTTCTAACTTTCAAAGGACCACAAACATCCAAATGAATCAACTCCAAAACATTTTCTTTTCTAGAAGCAACATTTTTATGAAAAGAAACTCTATGTTGTTTACCCACCAAACAATAAACACAAGTTTTGAGATGTGTACCTTTCAAACCGGGTAGAAGCTCTTTCTTGAACAAAACTTGTAGCCCCTTTTCACTCATATGGCCAAGCCGCTTGTGCCACAATTCGGTAGAAGTATCATCTTGAAGTGCATTGACAACACCTTTACAAATTTTTTCATTTATCGAATAAAGTATATGAGTCTTCTTGCACTTAGCCACCACCAAAGAACCCTTTGTGAGCTTCCATATTTCATCACCAAATTTGTTGTTGAAGCCTTCATCATCTAGTTTCCCAGTAGAGATCAAATTGAGGCGAATGTCGGGAACATGCCTCACATCTTTAAGCAACAACTTGCAGCCCAAATTTGTTTCCAAGCAAACATCACCCATGCCAATAATCTTGGATAAACCTTCATTACCCATTCGAATAGACCCATAATCTCCTTTGGTGTAGGTAGTGAAGAAATCAACTCGAGAAGTCACATGAAAAGAAGCATTGGAATTAATCGCCCAATTGCTCTCTTGGCCCACAAAATTGATACAATCATCTTCACAAACGACCATGAGATCATCGGTAGTAATTGCCGTTGTGTCTTCTTACTTCTTATCCACACTTTTGTCACGCTTTTTTCTCCTTATTCTTGAGCTTTCGGCATTCTCGCTTCATGTGCCCTTTCTCATGGCAATAATAACACTCAATTGTCTTTTTTTGAAAAAGAACGATCTTTTGATTTGTCACTATCACCCTCAATGGGTCCATACAAATCTTTACAAAATAATAGGTCCTCCATTTTAGTTTTCCAAGGGATCCAATTGCTTCCATTGAAGCTAGACATATGACACACATTCTCCTCCATTGATTTACACAAATAAATAGACCCAAATAAATCGTAAGCTCTGATACCAGTTGTTAGGGAAAATCAATGATTTCTCACAAGTAAATCAATCAATGGGAATAAAAACTAATGCGGAAAAATTAAATCAAAAGCAACACAAGAATTTTTACATGGTTCCCTCAATGTAAGGTACGTCCACGGAATCAAAATCCGATTCCACTATTAACCAAATAAGTTTCCAAATGATTACAAATGAGACACGAATGGTCTCACAAAACCACCCTTAGGTGAATTCCAAATAATCACAAATAAATAAGAGGAAATATCTCACCAAATAGATAAACAAGAATCTTTAAAATCAGAGTTGAAGAAGATCCAAAATAACGAACCAACACTAACCGAAGATGCCCCCAAACTGAGCTTCAAAAACCGAAATTGAACCAATCCGCTTCACAAATCAAAACACCAATTCTTGATTGACCAAGTCAACTCGAGAATAACAAACAACACCAATTGAAGCACTGTTGTCGAAAAACTTTGCTACTGCCGCTTTTTTCTTTTTTTCCTCCCATCGGGAAAAACATAAACAATATATATATATATATATATATTGCTGATTAATGAGTTTTTCAATCAAAACCCTAGTTGTATCCAAATTGAATTAGGTTTTCACAAAATTAGATATAATATATAAAAATATATTATCTCTAAACTAAACCAAATAAAACACTTTTAATAAACCAATTGGGTCCCACACTCCAATAAGGAGGTATACCCAACATTTGTTTCAGATACATTACATTAGCCAGGCAAGCTGCAGAAGAATTTTGGCTGCCAGTATTGTTCAACACTAAAAAACCAAAATAAACTTAATTGCACAACATCTATAAGAAAGGCAAAATGGACTTGCTATCCCAGGACTTTCTTGATTTCACGCAGCTTTGCCAAGGTTTCTCTCATGGTGAGACGATCACCGGCTGAATTAGCTGCACAAGACAACCCAACTCTAATCACAGCTGCTAGACACTGTTCAATTTTACTGTCCCAGTTGCAAATAGTATTACTCGTGATGCTGCTGTCGCCACCACCGACTGAAGAGCTATAAGTGCTCGTGTCACCCTCTGACAAGTCATTGTTATACTCAAAAAGCCTAGCATCGACAACTTTCAAAACTTGATTCTGTTGCATTGCCGATGCAAAATTATTGATGTCTAGACCATCCTTAAACATCTCATCAGTAGGTCTCTTTGCTGTAAACATCTCAAGAAGCAGGACACCAAAACTGTAGACATCCCCACTGGTTGAGACTTTGTTTCCCCAACCATACTCTGAAACAACATCAAAAACAAAAGCAAATTAGATTTATATACCACTGTAAGCATTTCTTGTTTCATAGAAAATATAAAATAAAAAATAAAATTATGAAGTTTTAGAAGATTAGTGTTTGTTTGTACCTGGAGGAATGTAACCGATTGAGCCCTTTAGCCCAATTGTGCTGCTTATCTTCTCTGGTGAATTTGGATTAAGAAACCTTGCCAATCCAAAATCTCCAACATGAGCTCCCAAATTCTCATCTAAGAGGACATTTGGAGGTTTTAGATCACAATGGACGAGGGGTGGTTCACAATCATGGTGGAGATAATCTAAGGCAAAAGCTACATCTATGGCTATATCTAATCTCTGGATCAGACTCAGATTCCTCTGTGATTGATAAGACTCTTTTGGGTGCAACCAATTATCTAGGTTTCCATTAGACATGAATTCCATAACCAAGGCCTTGAATTCACCACCCCTATGATCGATGCTAGAGCATGAAGTGATAACTCTCACAAGGTTTCTGTGTCGAACAGTCCTCAAAGCTTCACATTCTGCATTGAAGCTCTTCAAAGCTTTGCTCTGTTGCAAGTCAATAACCTTTACAGCTATGGCGGTCGTGCCAAACACTCCTTTATAAACCGACCCAAAGCTTCCTTTTCCAACCAAATTTTCTGTTGCAAAACCATTTGTAGCAAGCTGGATATCAGAGTACGATATCTTTGGTGGCAACCCCTTGATTGAAGGCGAAGATATGCCTGCTCTGTGCATTTTCTTTTTCTTCTTCTGGAAAATTAATACCCATATCAAGAACATTGCAGACGTGAAAACTATGGAACTGACCAACACAATGATGATCTTGAGTGACAAATGTCTACTTGATTTCCTTCGTGCGGAACACTCGGGGACTTTTAGCCTTTGAGCAGCATCTTTGTCATTTCCACATAGTTTAGAATTCCCTTGAAATGAATCCCATTCAAGGTTAATGAAGACACCATTCCTAGGAACTTGTCCTTCTAAATCATTAAAAGACAGATTTAATTTTTGCAAGGCGGAAATTTTCTCTAAATTGTCAGGTATTGGACCTGACAGATTGTTTAAAGAGAGGTCCAGACTTTCTAGTGCTATTAATTTCCCCACTGAGTTTGGAATGAAACCGGTTAAATTGTTTCTCGACAAGTTTAGAAAACGCATGCTTATGCAGCCTTGAATTGTTTCTGGTAAATTTCCAGAAAACCGGTTGTCAGAAATATCCATGAATTCAAGCTTTGTCATGCTGCCAAGCTCAATGGGAAGTGAACCATTCAGATAATTTCGTGCTAAATACAAATAATTCAGAATGGGAAGCCTGAAAATCTCCATTGGAATAGTCCCAACAAGACTGTTCCAAGCCAGATCTAGCTTGGATAGTCTCTGGCATCGACCTATAGTAGTGGGAATTTTTCCTGAGAACTGGTTTGCTCCCATTGTGAGCTCAAAAAGCTTGGTGAGATTGCCAAAGACATCGGGAATTTCGCCAGAGAAGTTGTTTATGTGTAGAGACAAAAGTTGTAGGTTGTGAAGTGCCCCGATGGAGTGTGGTAACGGACCTGTTAAAAAGTTCCTCTCTATGGACATGGTCATGAGATTTTGAAACTTTTCGATTCCTATGGGGAAACTACCAGTGAAAAGATTGTTGTCGATGCAAAAGCGTATTAGAACAGTGGACAAGTTTGAAAGTGAAGTGGGAAGTTCACCGGACAGTTGGTTGGAATTGAGTATGAGGTCCTGTAATTGGGTACAGTTTGAGAGGGACTCAAAGAAATGGAAGTTTTGCTCTGTAGTTGAAAAGAGATTGTTACCACCCAGATTTAAATGAGTCAGACTCTTCATATTCCTGAGCAAAGGAATTGAGCCTTGAAATTGATTTGAAGGAAGATCGAGAAATTGTATACTTGAAGCATTGAACAATGACTCAGGTATTGATCCTCGAAAATGGTTTTGACCCAGAAGGAGTTGCTCAATTTTGGGAAGTCTAAACCCCATATCACCGGGCAGATGTCCATACAAATTGTTTTTCGCGACCGATAAGTAGACTAATGAAGAGATGTTGAAGATGGAAAGAGGGAATTCACCAGAAAATTGGTTAACAGAGAGCTGAATGGAGAGTAGATTAGAAAGATGGCCAATTTGGTTTGGAATTGGACCAGAGAGATTGTTTGAGTCCAGGGAAAGAACAGTAAGAGCAGAGAGATTTCCAAATGTTGGTGGAACGACACCAGTGAGATTGTTCCCGGAGGCATCAAGAACCTGCAGCCTTGGCAGAGCACCAAGTTCGGGGGGAAGGTGACCGGTGAGTTTGTTAAAGCCCAAACTGATGACTCTGAGATTCTGACATTGGGATAGACTAGCCGGGATTGCACCGGTAATTGAGTTTTCAGCAAGGATGAAGTGGGTGAGGAGAAAGAGTCGGCCCAGCTCAATTGGGATTTGGCCATAAAAATTGTTCCGGGAAAGGTTTAGTTTTTGAAGGGAAGAGAGGTTAGAAAGGTGAGGGGAGAGGGTGCCGGAGAGGCCGAGTCCGGGAAGGTGAATTGAGTTGACTCTGTGGTTGTGATCAGTGGTGCATGAGACACCAAACCAAGTGCAGTGGGAGGTGGAAATGTGGTTGGTCCAGCCAGAAAGGAGATTTTGAGGGTCAGAGATTTGGAGTCTGAAAGAGAGGAGAGCTTGTCTGTCAGTGTTGTTGTTGGTGTCTAGAGCTCGCACTTTGTTGATGGTGAAATGAAGAAGAAGAAGAAGATGGAAGCTGAGAATTACAAGGTGAAGATAGAGACTGGATTTCATATTTTCTTTTCAAAATACGGATTGTAATAAGTACTTAGCTTGAGACAGGGGAGTTGGGTAATGGTATGTTATTATTACATCTCCAGAAGGTGGAAGCAACTCATATAAAAGGTGTTAGTGTATGATTAGCTTTAGCATGCTAGTGTATGATCATGTCTCTTACTGTATAGCTAGTGTATGATTATGTCTGTTAGTGTATAGCTTTAGCTTTATATTTTATAATATAACAATCATCACATACAATTTATTCTCTCATTCTCTCTCTATCAATTTATGTAATCTGTGGTATGAAGACCCAGATGAGTTTTTTTTTTTTTTCTTTCCCCAGAACATCTTGGAAAACTCTGTCAAGACAAAGAAGTAATGCTGATTATTCCTTACCTCTTTCTTTTATTTTGTCCTCCACTTTACACCTCACATGCCTCATGCCTCTCCATTCTCTCTGCTCTCTGCACTCTCATTCCTTTTATTATTATTATCATTCTTATTATTATTATAAACCCACTCAGTATCCATGACCCAACCCATGTGCTCTTTTTCCTCTTTTCCTCTATCTTTTGACCTATCCTTCCACCACCTCCCTCTTTTTCTTAAAAAAAAAAAAAAAAAAAAAAATACCACCACTAATGGAAAAGTAAGTAAAATATAGATACTAATGAAAAGTAAGCAAAATATATATATGTGGGTGTGTGGGTTGTGGATTCTGAGTGGGTGCATAATAATAATAAAATGAATGAGTGGAGAGAGGGTTTGATGTATAAATAAAAGAAGAGTGGTGGGTGAGACATGGTGGAAACAAAGAGAATAAAAAAAAAATATTATAATAAACATATTAAAATAAAAGAAAGTGCTCTGAATTATGGCTCCAACTCATGGTGTGTTGTGTGGGTTATTATAGCAGTATTCTGTAATGGGAACCGTGAAATGGTGGGAGAAGAAAAGAAAAGTAAAAGCTAAAGAAAAGTAAATGGTGTGCTGTGTGGGGTTTGTACAATTTTATTTTATTTTTTTTTGTGGAAGATAAGAAAAGGGAACAAGACCATGTGGGCAGGAGCCTTTGCTGAGGGCAGAGTTTCATGGGAAATTGTTCACCACGAGGTGTATTTGCTTGCATGTGATGGCTCGCATGTGATGGATAGAGAGATATATATTGGTCTCGGGCTAGAGAGAGAGTTGCCAAGAGGGAGAGAGCTGCCATGCATATGTGTGTGTATGCCGAGAGGAAGAGGCGATGGGTGTGCGTGTGAGCTGCTGGGTTTGTGTTAGGGAGAGGATGGCGCATGTTAGCAGCCACAGCAAGACGAATCTCCAAAATGATGAAGAAATGAGAGAGATGTGACCCAAATCAGCGTGGTGGCGGAGCTGGGCACAGGGGCGCTTTACAAGGCGGCGTCGGGGCCGAGGTCGGCGGCGGTGGCTGCCGCGATTGGCGGCGTGGTGGACCAGAGAGATTGTTTGAGTCCAGGGAAAGAACAGTAAGAGCAGAGAGATTTCCAAATGTTGGTGGGACGACACCAGTGAGATTGTTCCCGGAGGCATCAAGAACTTGCAGCCTTGGCAGAGCACCAAGTTCGGGTGGAAGGTGACCGGTGAGTTTGTTAAAGCCCAAACTGATGACTCTGAGATTCTGACATTGGGATAGACTGGCCGGGATTGCACCGGTAATCGAGTTTTCAGCAAGGATGAAGTGGGTGAGGAGAAAGAGTCGGCCCAGCTCAATTGGGATTTGGCCATAAAAATTGTTCCGGGAAAGGTTTAGTTTTTGAAGGGAAGAGAGGTTAGAAAGGTGAGGGGAGAGGGTGCCGGAGAGGCCGAGTCCGGGAAGGTGAATTGAGTTGACTCTGTGGTTGTGATCAGTGGTGCATGAGACACCAAACCAAGTGCAGTGGGAGGTGGAAATGTGGTTGGTCCAGCCAGAAAGGAGATTTTGAGGGTCAGAGATTTGGAGTCTGAAAGAGAGGAGAGCTTGTCTGTCAGTGTTGTTGTTGGTGTCTAGAGCTCGCACTTTGTTGATGGTGAAATGAAGAAGAAGAAGAAGATGGAAGCTGAGAATTACAAGGTGAAGATAGAGACTGGATTTCATATTTTCTTTTCAAAATACGGATTGTAATAAGTACTTAGCTTGAGACAGGGGAGTTGGGTAATGGTATGTTATTATTACATCTCCAGAAGGTGGAAGCAACTCATATAAAAGGTGGTAGTGTATGATTAGCTTTAGCATGCTAGTGTATGATTATGTCTGTTAGTGTATAGCTAGTGTATGATTATGTCTGTTAGTGTATAGCTTTAGCTTTATATTTTATAATATAACAATCATCACATACAATTTATTCTCTCATTCTCTCTCTATCAATTTATCTTACAAAAGGTATGAAGACCCAGATGAGGAGTTTATGGGTCATTGCAATCTATTTTCAGATTCAAATGAATTCGTCATATGAAAATGATGATTTTTTATGCTTTTCATCAAATTAGTTTTAACTTTTTTAAGTAAACAAATAAATTTTAAAAACTCAATCAAATAAAATTACGGTCAAGACATAATAATAAAGTGAATGTCATGTTTACAGTTTTGCAAACGAGCCGAACTGAGTCGAATTTTAGATATTTAAGTTTGTTTATTGAGATTTTAGCAAATTCGAGTTTGAACTTAATAAAAATTTAGCGAACTGAACTCAAATTGAGTTGGCTTAGATTTAATTCGAGTTCGAGTTAATTCATGAGTCTTAATGAGCTAAAGAAATTATAAATTCATATTTTCATATAAGATTAAAGTTATAATTGAAATTTAAATTATACAATAATATATACAATATATATAACCATACTAAAAGAAAAGAATCAATATCTTACTAAAATAACTATATCTACCATCACAATTATATAAATGTATTATCTATAATTAACTATTATTTATATATAAATAAATTTAGCTATTATTTACATTATTTAAATATATAAATAAAATATTTATTTTATTTTTTATACATATTTTTATATTATTTAATATATAAATAATATATTTATTTTATTATTTAAATAAATATTAAACAAGTTGAATTGACGAGTCAAGTTTTAATATATTTAAGTTTGTATATTACGATTTTGACGACCTCAAATTCAAGCTTGTACGTAATAAAAATTTAATTCAAATGAATCTAGTTCAAACCTATTGACCAGCTCTATTCATTTGCCCTCGAACTTCAAGCAAGTGCAAGGATGGTGTTGTTGTCAATTGACCACGAGGTAGGAAACTCGAGTTTCCTTCCAAGGTTTTTGTCAAGGCATGTCACATCATTGTTTGTTGGAAACCCCTAATATTTTTCATTTTTGACAAATTCTGAATAAAGAAGACCTTGCAACAAATGCTTTAGCCCGTCGTACATTTATTTTTTCAAAGATAATATGAAGCCAACTGATAATATTTATTATTATGTTTTTAACAATAAAATTGAACATTTATGCCTTAATTATTGAAGTAAAAAATATTTTTTGGAAAAATTGCTTTTTATGTTTGGTGTTGGTAATGATAGAATGAAGGTGAAAGCGGAAATGGCGGCGTGGTGGTGGGGTGAAATCAACGGTGATGGCAACAGTAATGGTAGTTGTGGCCATTGTGATGAGTGTGGTGGTGGTAACATAGTGACATTAGCAAAATTTTAGTTTACAAAATGTTTTCCACCTTTTAAAATAAAAAAATATATTTTCTATCAAAATATGATTGTTTTATGTTGATCATAAAAAATATTTTTTATTAATTTTTTTTTTTCATCTTGCCGAACATTAAAAAATATGAAAAATATTTTTCGCCAAACAAAAACTATTGTTAGACGGCTCTGACATTTTTAAGGTCCAAAATGAGTTTCTTGTAGCGATTCCAGTTTTTGCCACTTCGTTGAGTATGTCGGGGATCGAGCTGCCCAGTCAGCTCACGGGGGTCAAGGGGGGAGTGCCCCTTGGTGGGTCCAAGGGTAGCACCCTGACAGGGATCGAGCTGCCCAGTCAGCTCACGAGAGTCCATGGGGCAGTGCCCCTTGGCGGGTCCTAGGGCAGTGCCTTGGCAGGATTGAGGGGCAGTCCCTCCGAAATAAAAATGTAAAATGCATTAGAAGTTGCTTGTCCGCTTGAGCGGCTGTTTATGCGCTCGAGCAAAGAATGTTTGGTTCCAGAACTTTGACCTATCTGCAAACGTACTGGGAAAGTGTATTTGACGCTCGAGCGGGGCTTTCCACGCTCGAGCAGACCATATTATATCACTTCGTGAATCTGATATTTTAGATCACTTTTGTATATATATATATATCTCTAAAAACCCGTTCATCTCTCTTCTCTCTACATTTCCCTGCACCAAATTGGATCAAAACCTTGGTTTCTCAAGATCCATTATAGTTCTACCATAAGTTTTTCATCAAAGTTGGTTAACTTCTCGAGGGCTTCATTGTGTGTGGTGAAGATCGAGTTTCGACACCGTTGATTTTGGGGGTTTCATCTCATTTTTTCTTCAAAACTTGAGGTTGGGATTTTCTTAGAGTTATATATATATATATATATATATATTTGCAAGATCTATATGATTTTCGAAATTATCTTTCGATAACTTTGAAAATTGATTGTTGATTCAAGAAGTTGAGCGATTTTGAAAATGGGTTTATCTCTTGTTCTTTTAAAATGATCTTATGGGTTTTGATCTTCGTTGATTGAAGAAAAGATGATTTTGGAAAGTTTTCTTTCAAAAGATTTGAGTTGTATAGTTTTGGTGAGAAAACCTAGAATTTGAGAATTTTTTTTAAAGGAGACTGAAAATCCATGAATGATATTGTTATATTTATTTTATGTGTCAAAATAAATAAATGTTTGGAAAATTTCTTATTTATATTTATATAAATGATGAATTTCAGGAAATATGAGAATTGTTGTTCATTTTGGAAATTATTGTTCAAAACGTTGAAATAGTCTTGAAATTGTTAATTGTCGAGGATACTTGAGAAGAGGGAATTGTGTTATTCATTGGATGATGAATTGGAATAAAAGTATTTATATTAATCTTGTGAAATTGGCATATCAATTCATTTGATTACATTAAACTTTGAAAATTAATTTGAAAACTTGCATTGAGAAAAGAATGTTGAGAAACAAGTTTTCATGGAATGGTTTGGGGTAAATACGTTGGTAAGTCTTGATAGGTGGTGTAGATGATATTAAATAAGTTGGCCTGAGAGTCCGGGGTGAAAGACTAAAAACCCGCGCGGATAATACCGGTAAAAGTGACAATTTGGTAGTACTTGTATAATCTACTTGCAGACACCGACCTAGGGATTACCAGAGTCATATTTACCACCCTTGAAATAAATTGTTAAGTTTTGAACAATTGAAATTGCATGATATCATTAAGCATGATAGTTTTCAAAAGATGAAAATGTGATTTATCTTCAAAAATGGCATAGCATGGCATGCGCATTTCATCTCTTAAGACTTGTATAAAATGTATATACTTTGTTAAGAATTTTCTACTGGGCTTTATGCTCACCATACGGGATTTTTGTGCAGGAAAATATGTGGTGATCCCACCCAACTAGGGGCGTGGAAATATGTGTGTTAAGAGTACAATGCTCTCATTTTGCCGTGACTCTATGTGTAAGCCAAGGGCTGTATTTGTGTGGGTTTGAATAACCGTTTTGTGTAACCAGGCTCAAGCCTTGGAAACTTGTAAACCCTTGGGGGTACTTATTTGTTTATTTACTTCTTGTGGGATTAATGTATTGTTGCATGAAGAACTATTGTATCATGTAATGTAAATTTGGAGATTTATGTTCAGTTTTCCTTGAAAGAGCCATGGGAAGTGGTTGTTTAACCACAATGGGTTCATTTAGCATGCTTAGGAAGTGTTATGCATTTTGTGACTATGTGATAACATGCTTATGTGACTAAATGGGTATGAGATTGGACTTTTGGGATGTTGTTTGCGTATGTTAAATTCATTGACGTCATATTAGAAAGGTACTTAATCAATACTCATTCTACTAAGAATTTTTAGTTTTTCGTGGGACGAATCTCATCATAAGAGTATAATCCGTATGTGTTTACATGATTATATAGGGGGTGAAATTTAATTGTTATATGGTAGATGAATATATAGCATTATTATGATCAAACGTGTAAGGCAAGTTACGGGCACGTGTGGATTAGTGTGCTAAATTAATTCTATTATCATTAATAGGATGTCAGGAAGAGGTTAAACCCATGGTGGTAGAGGAGCGAGGCGTGGTAGGGCTCGTCGAGGTGTGCATGAGGTACTGGTCCATGAGGTTCCGGTGCAAGAGGAAGAGTGCGGCCAAGCTAATGTGGCCGAACAAGTGGGGCAGGCGAGAATCCCGGGACAAGCGGGTCAAACCGCAATGGGAGCTCTAGCTCGAGAAATGGCAAGGGCTTCAAGAGAGTTTATGAACTTGTTGAGGGTAGAGAATCAAGCCTGAGAGAACACTGCGGAGTCAAGGGCGAGTTTCCTTACTAGAGAGTTCTTGCGGGCCAAACCGAATGAGTTCCATGGTGGTCCCGAGCCCAAGAAAGCGGATAAGTGGCTCGAACAAACTATGAAGACATTTGAGATGCTTCATATCAAAGATAGTGAACTAAGAGTGACTCTAGCGAGTTACTACCTTAAGGGAGAAGCGGGTCAATGGTGGAAATATGTCAAGGGTAGAGTGGAGCTGATATGGGAAGCCTTTGTGGTTGCTTTCCAAGATAAGTACATACCTCTTATTGCTAGGAAGAGATTGAGGCAAGAGTTTAAAGACCTCAAACAACTCGACAAGCCGTGGCCAAGTTTGAGGTGGTTTTCTCTAGTTTGTCCGAATTTGTAGCAGAGTTCGTATTGGTGACAACGGAAGAACGCCGTTGCATTTAATTTGAAAAGAAATTGAAAACAAAAATTATGTTCAAGCTTATAGGAAATATGATTCGGGAATATAACCGTCTTGTGGAGACGGCGACACACGTAGAAATTTCATACAAGCCGAGGAGGAGAGGCTTCGGAGTTCGAGGTCTAGGGGCCAAGAGTCTCAAGGAGACTATATGCAGAACAAGAAGAGCAGGAACACCTATCCATCTCAGTCCCAACCATAGCAGTCTAGATCCACTTTTCCTTTGCCTAGTGCGGGTCTAGGAGAAAGTGCATCGAGTAGCTTCTCGTGTTTCAAGTGTGGCCAACCGGGTCACAAAGCCTTCTCATGCCCACAGAAAGGAGGAGGGCAGT